TCTCAGTTCAGCACTTCAACCCTGAGAGGAAAGTCAACACTGAGTATTTGAAAATGTGCAGCAGCTAGAACTGTCTTCAGTGGAGCAGAAATCTGTTCTGTATATCTCATGGATAATCCTGCAGTGGCGACTGAGACAAATATGGATTTTATGTGTATTAAATGTGAAAAATATTTATAAAACAATGAAATGTGCAATAAGACAACATATCATCAGTACATTATAAGTTAGTATGTTAGTCTAGAAGCAGATCTGTCCAACGTGTTGTCTAAATGAAATAGAAATGAGTTCCAATTTGTTTTCTGTTGTCCTTTTTATTGTTTAGTCAGATATAAAATATGGAATATTCACAAAGCCAATTAGCCAATTATCTGGAGAAAGCCTGCGAGAAAAGAAAGAGGGTTCTTTATGGAGATAATCTGTAAAAATTTGGTAGTTTCTCGTGTGAACAGTTTATTTGGGATGTTGTTTTATGTTGTTTCCTTTATTCCCTTCTCCACATTCAGATTCAGATTCAGATTCAGACAACTTTATTAATCCCACCAGGGGCAATTTGTTTGAACAGCTTGCCTTGCACACATACTATAACTTACAGTAGCATGCAGACACATAAACAGAGGAGTAATGGATAAAAATCAAAAATATAAAAGGAGTTCAGTGGAATAAAGGAATCTCTACATTTTTTTTTATAATTAATAGGCTGATTATCAATCAATTATAAAAAACAATAAAAACAATTTTTAAAAAGCAAGAACAAGTCCAGCAGAAGTTAAAATAGTTTTGGCTTTCTGGAGGATTTTCTGGAGGATGTTTTGTTTTGTACATCCAAGACCGGAAGATGGTTATAAAATAACAGTGTCTTGTGGGTCAAAAAAGGCATGACACTTAAATTAAGATGAATGAATGGATAAATACCATTTAGCCTTCCCACGAGTGTCCCAGAAGCCGTTTGGTCTGGGGATGTTGCAGGGCCCCTGAGTTGCCTGCTTGAAATAACTGTAGAACATCAGCATCATGTCATCAGATGGCTGGAAAGGACCTGAGAGAGTAAGAGAAGAGGAAAAATTCACATAAATCTTATGCTGACATAGGCGTAGATTTCAAGTGGGATGCAGGGGCCCACATCTTCCTAAATATTTAGAACATGTTCATTTGTCCCCCACCCCCAAATAAAAACATGAAAGTAGCAGAGGACTTTTATCTTGAAGAGTGTTCTGCGACCAGGAGAACCCGATGGATACACTTCTGATTTTACACTTTAGATTTGACTGAATTCATTTTTGTTGTTTCTTCCTACAATCATTTTCTGATTTTCTGGTATTTGGGGATCAAATTTTACTTTGTAATTTGTGCTTTCTATGTTTGTATTCCTCCAGAACTTCATAATTTTCCTCCCCTGACCAATATGGTTTTCTTGTTCTCTTTTCCTCTGCTATTTTTTTCACTATCTAACTATCAGCCAATTTTGTGAGACGATAACAGGCGTCACAAGTGTGAGCCCAAGCAAACAAACAAACAATCTCTATGGAAACTTTTACTGCTGTGAAATCTCTTTCAACGCAGTAAATTAAAAAAGTTAACATTTTTACTTAACTAATGGAACCTTTTAAGGGATTCTGTGCAACTGTGTAGAGTCCCTCAGCTAAGGAATAATTAAGTGTCAAAACTTAAAGTGTTTTATGCAACTGGTCCCAGCCCCCCCTGTTCTTCATCTCCAAAATGTCTCTTAAATTAATACACTTCTTCCTCCACTATGACGCCCCTGATAGAGAGACAAACGACTACAAGAGACAAAAAAATTACCACAGACACAAAAGCACAAAAAGATGCATAGCGACTACAAAGACAAAACACACACACACACACACACATGCAGAGACAAAACCACCACAAAGCCTGTGTGTCTTGCTCAGTGGTGTAAGGTAGTTTCGATGGGCCCCAGCGCATGCTAGGT